CACCTCGGGGACGGTCCTTTACCAAGAGGGGCGGAGGAGTCAGCACGGAGGGAAGTGACCAGCGCAGCGCCACCCTTGGACAATAAGCCACTGACCAGGTCTGGGACTAAGGTTGGGTTCATCTGCCCCAAGGCTGACCGGAAGGGCAGTTTTAAATGCAAGGGGGCCCAGCTGAAACCCTGTGACCCAGTGGACAGGTTTACCTTTTCCCCCACCCTCATAAATGAGCCGTGTCTAAGCATGAGCAACTGCATTGTGTACCATTATTTCTGTGGATTTTTGTCTTTGGACATTAGCCACAGCATTTCTGTGCCACTAGCAAATCTCACAACCTGACCGGACACCCTCAATAAGCCATTCCTGTGTAAAAAACCTATGTGAATTGAGTTAAAGAAATGGGGAGCGGAGGATCTAAAGATGTACCGGCTCTGCCAAAAGGGACTCCAGCATTGTACATGTACACACACTATGGCCATAAAAGTTGTAAGTTTTTAAACAAATGGAATAGGTATACCAAAGATGACTCTAGTTTCCAGTTTCCCCTGGAGGGAACATTTGATTTAAGTAAAATCATTCATCTCCATGGAGCCCTTGAGTCAAAAAGGCAGTAAAACACCACAGACTCAGTGGGATTCAATTTTTGATTGGTATAAGGGAGCGTCCAAATGATGTCAAAAATCTCATGTTTAGAGCCTTAAGGACTCCCAAGACAAACTGAAATCTCAGATAAAAAATTAAACAGAAAAGTGCACCAACAGGGGATCCCCCATCAATAACAACAGCACCATCAGCACCAACACCGCTTTATCCACAATTGACTGAGAATGAATCTGTGGAAGACATAATTGATTTCATTAGCACGCCAACCCCAGGCACATACCAGTCCCAGGCACAATCTAAATCCAAAGAAATCCAAAGTGACCAAATAGACTCTTCCGGTGAGAAAAGCTCACCCCAGGAACCTATCACCCAACCATCATCATCTGCCCCCTGGAATCCGGGTGGCTGGTTCCTGAAGCCTCAGCCTCCTCTTATTTAAGGTCTGGCACCCAGTATGGTCCAGTCCCTTCTTCAAAACCTAAAAAGGCTCTTCAGATGCCCTTACGTCAACTCCCAGGGCAGGGACCAAATGGGGAATGTAC